GAGGGGGTATACAACATGCTTCAGAACAGAATGAACCCCCCTTCCCAGGTCAGATGGACCACCCACTACGGAATCTCCATCTTGTCTGGACATAAGAAAATCCTGCTGGATCAGGCTAGTGGCCCACCTAATCCGGCATCCTGTCCCCACAGTGACCAACACAGGCAGGAGCTGAATGCAACAGCACTTTCCCTTCCTGCAGTTTCCAGCAACTGGCATTCAGAAGCATACTGCTTCCAACAACAAATTGAGCTTCAGTTTATTAGCCCTCACCCAGTCCATTACCAGCTCCAAGCACTTGGTTCAGCTCTTCCACTTTTGACAAAAAGGAAAAAATATAGCTAGATAAGTGGCAACTCATTCCAAATCTCCGGATGACATCACTCATCACTGCATATATTATGTGCATCTCCCGCCTACCATGGCCTGCTTGCTTCGTATTGGCTCTTCCGAAAAATCTTCCTTGGAAACAATTGCTGCTGCCACCTCCCCACAGAGGAACCCAGCAGTTCTCCTCCAGCAGTATCTGCTGTCGCACTGCGACTTGACAGAGCCTGGGTCATGTTTCCCTCAAGGATAAGCTGGCGAAGAATGCTGCTTACAATGTCTCATCAGCCTCAGAAACACAGGCCGTCAGTTCGAATCAAAATCCGCTCTATTTGCACCTCCTGCCATGTGGATAAGTAGTTCATAGGAATGGGGGGCAGAGAGTCTATAAAGCAACTTTTCCCAACCTGATGTTTTAGATTGCGACTCCCACCAGCCCCAGCCAGCATGGCCAACTGTCAGGGATGATGTGAGTTGTAGTACAAAACATCTGGAGGACACTCAGTTGTAGAAGGCTGCTGTGAAGACCCAGTTATTCCCCTAAGGGCCGTCCAGCATAAACACTTCGTTGATAGAGGAATCCCTCCTACGTGACTGTACTCTTAGATGTAGGCATTTTGTGATCTTAAGAGGCATCTCTCTGCACATGTGTGTGTGTGCGCGCACACACACGCACACACACTTATCAAGGACAAATTTATGTGTGCTGCCAATGAAGCACTGTGTTTTTGCTTTCATTTTTAAGAAGTCTTTCCCACCTCCAAATCCTCACAGTGTTGCCTCTTGATTATACAACATAATAAAAGAGAGGGTTGTCATCAAACACACTGGTGCAAAGTGGACTTTCACAGAAGTTGTGCTTATCCACATGCTTTTGAATTATGGTGCTGGAGGAGACTCTTGAGAGTCCCATGGACTGCAAGAAGATCAAACGCATCCATTCTTAAGGAAATCAGCCCTGAGTGCTCACTGGAAGGACAGATCCTGAAGCTGAGGCTCCAGTACTTTGGCCACCTCATGAGAAGAGAAGACTCCCTGGAGAAGACACTGATGCTGGGAAAGATGGAGGGCACAAGGAGAAGGGGGCAACAGAGGACGAGATGGTTGGATAGTGTTTTCGAGGTTACCAGCATGAGTTTGACCAAACTGCGGGAGGTAGTGGAGGACAGAGGTGCCTGGCGTGCTCTGGTCCATGGGGTCACGAAGAGTCGGACACGACTAAACGACTAAACAACAACAACAACGTGCTTATCCACAGAAGCATCGCAGGGGTCAGCAATCTTTTTCAACCATGAGTCGGTCCACCGTCCCTCAGACCATGTGGTGGGCCGGACTATATTGGGTGGGGGGATGAACGAATTCCTATGCCTCACAAATAACCCAGAGATGCATTTTAAATAAAAGGACACATTCTACTCATGTAAAAACACGCTGATTCCCGGACCATCCACGGTCCGGATCGAGAAGGTGATTGGGCCACATACAGCCCTCAGACTTTAGGTTGCCTACCTAAGGCAGCCCCAGTGTGTTTCAGAATGTGCTCCCCTTCAGGATAATATATTTCCTAAAAATAAAAATCATTACAATTATTGCAGGAGTCTACCCTTGCACACATTTTTGTAAACACTAAATGCAACAATAGCAACAATGCTAGTCTTATTTATTATTTACTTACTGGATTTCTTACCTGCCCTTTATCGTAAGACCCCAGGCAGATTCACATCTCTTCACATCTTGTTCATGAATAGATATAAAAAATCCTCTTTCCAATCTACCAAAGGCTTCTGAAAATGTTTTTGACAAGACTATATAACAAATAGTAATAGTAAAAACAAATGAATGAATGAAAATTAGAAAGCACCAGTGTAACCAAATTGTGCTATAGAGAATTAACGATCTGTAATATATTGACCTTGTCTTGGAAAGGCATACACTTTATTAGGAAATATGCAGGATGGTAGGAGTTTCAGAACAGACAGAAGGTAGTATAACCTCTTCACATAGGTGCATAGCTAGCCTGCGGAAATGGCTGCCACAACTTAACAATGACTTGCAAAGCCTTTAAAGGGCTTTGACAGGTTAATGGAGGATAGGGCTACTCATCATGGTGGCTATATGCTACATCCAGGTTCAGAGGTAGCTGGAGAACAATAGTGGTAGAGGACCATTGTTGCCTACATGTTCTGCTTGTGGGCGTTTGCTTGGCCTCTGTGGGAAGCAGGATGCTGGACTCAGCGGGCCTTTCAAGTTTCCATATAAGATGTTCTCAGAACAAGGGAACCCTCCATTTCATACACTGTGGATTGGTTCTTCCCTGTAGCTTAACTACTGTTGCCATTATTATTGCTGTGTGTTATATTCCAAGGGAAATCATTCAAAAATCTGTTTTTTAAAAAAATAAATCAGTATTATACTGATCAAATGTAGCAACAAGGAAATTATTCTACTTGGCATTACTGCCAAAATAAAGAAAAGCAAAAAATAGCCTGTCCTAACTCCGCATAGAAGACTCTCGTGACCTATATATACTTCTAGGAAACCCTGTCGCCTGTTATCAGTCATTCTACTTGTTTATTGCTTTTTTACCCCACCCTTCCATCACAGAGAAGCTCAGAGCAGCCCACATTGTCCCCCCTTTATTTTATTCTTACAAAAACCCTGTGAAGTAGCTGAGGCTGAGAGATAATGGCTGGCTAAAGATCATCCAATGAGATTCATAGTTGAGTGGGATTTGAACCAGAGTCTCCTCAGTCCTGGTCTGGTACTATAACCATGGTTATAGTCTGGTATAGTCTGGTCTGATTATAGTCTGGTCTGGTACTATAATCATGCGTACAGGGTTAAATGAAGAGCTAGACCTTCATTTAGCTCTTCATTTAACCCTGTCTAGCTCTAGCTCTTCATTTAACCCTGTACGCATGATTGTCAACACTCTGATCAGCTATCTTTGCCCCCAAATCCAGAAAAAGGTGGTTTCATAAGTTTCAAAACACTGTAGTTCTGGAAAGCACAGGTCTTCACAGGTCCGAGAACACACTATTCTTAGCCTTCCCTTCGTCATTTATGGTCCTTCCCACCACTTTAAATATAATCTCAGAAGTGCCAGGTGGAAATGAAGCGATAAAAAACCCCTCTTTCCCTCTTACCAATCAGCTGTGTTGCCTCTTTTCACTGCAGTGAACTGATGTGGAGTGGTTTGAAAGGGCTATACAATGTGACTCTGCTTGTGCTTCTAATGTGCAAGTGTCAAGTGTCACATGAAATTCATAGCTTCTCAGGATTGTTCTTCAGAAAAGAAAGAAAAGCCCCAAACAGAAGGGGGAAAAATATGAGAACAAATTGTTCACTTTTAAACCCAGATCCTCTCAACATTTCAAAAACATCTTTTAGTGAGGGGAGTTGATGGAAGCTCAGCTCAATCTTAAGCTTTTGTGTCATATAAGCAGCAATACATAGTACCTGTCTATAGACCATTCCAGAGTTGTTGGGTTTTTTGTTTTGGCAGGTATTTTCTGTAACATGTCGTTGATGCAATAATAGTGCATTAGTGGTGGATTTTGACTGTCCACACATTGTTCCACCCAGTGCTTTTTTCTAAAAAAAAATAAAGTTTAGGAGTACTCTCATTTTCCTAATCATATTGAAATACTGCCCCTCAATGAGGCCAAACTTAGATTCACAAAATGTTTAGCGGTATGCCTACCTCTGCGACCCCCCCCAAAAGCACTGGTTCCACCTTTTTAGTTGTTCCGTGATGCTTCCCTAATGTTACCACATTAGTGCCCTCTGGAGGGTCACCCTTGTGCTGCAACACAACAGAAATGGGACACAAAATAAACTGGGAATATATAGTTACAGAATTTCAGCAGGAAGTTACAGGATGTGCACTGATGTGAAACAAATCAGTATGTGCACCCTGAAACTTGGTAGGATCATGCATAGCCTCTCTGATCCCATCATGATAACAAATCACCCTGAATGGACTTTTAAAAGCATACCTGTGTATACACTACACATTTGAAGCATGCAGTGGTACCTCGGGTTAAGTACTTAATTTGTTCTGGAGGTCCGTTCTTCACCTGAAATTGTTCTTAACCTGAAGCCCCACTTTAGCTAATGGGGCCTTCTGCTGCCGCTGCGCCGCAGCAGCACGATTTCTGTTCTCATCCTGAAGTAAAGTTCTTAACCTGAAGCACTATTTCTGGGTTAGGAGAGTCTGTAACCTGAAGTGTATGTAACCTGAAGCGTATGTAACCCGAGGTACCACTGTATTTCCCCACCTCCAATAATTATGAACATGGTAGTTCACCCCTCACAGAGTTAGAATTCCCCAAAGCCCTTAACTAACTACAGTGCCCAGAATTTTTTGATAGAAAAATGTGCTCTAAAGGTATAGTTTGTACATAGCCCAAAGGGACCTTTTGAGACACACACAGTGTTGTTCTTCATCTGCAGTACTCTCTCCCAGAGGGTTACCTCACAGCATTCATAAGCAGGATTCCAAAGTATAACTGGTTTCCGTCAGTTACAAATTATTGAGCATATAGCATCTCTTGCTATTGACATAAGTGCTTTATTTTGGAAAGTCAAGATGGTGCATTTAGAAGCTTAGAGTCAAAATGGCTCTGATGTAAACAGTTGAATTTTATACTTTGTTTTTCCCATGTTTTCAGATCATCTGGAAAGTCTGTCTTGAGGGCAACCCAGGAGAAATAACAGGGCTAACAAAATTAGATGATCATCACTCCAGCCATGACTCTATTCCACTGTTTCACAGTGGATTGCCAATAGACCTTCAGCAGCCATGAACTACAGTTTGACGGTGGAATGGTCTCCCTTGGATGGTGGGTGGACATTGGAAATTTTAAAGCAGAGGTTGGATGGCCATCTGTCATGGATGCTTTAGTTGAGATTCCTGCATTGCAGGGGGTTGAATCAGATGACCGTTGGGGTCCCTTCCAACTCTCTACAAGTCATGCAAATTCAAGATCCATTTTAATTCAGCTGGATCCAGCTTCTAGCCAGACCCTATGAAAAAGCCCTGTATGTGTGTGTGTGTGTGTGTGTGTGTGTGTATTCATGTTCTATCCTTTCTTTTGCTCTCGCTCTCTCTCAAAATTCCAAATTCCAGCACTCTCTCAAAATTCCAAATGTGCTTGCAGGCCTCAAAAGGTTGGTGACCCCAGCCTATAGGCTTTGAATGTGCATTGAGCAAGCTATGGCAGCGAAAGAGCATGTAAGAGCTTTAGTGCAGTTTTGCCTGTTAGCGCAGGTTCTCCTGTTTCAGCCATATACAACCCAATCTTACCGGTTGTATATTATCTTGTTATGCACATGGAAACGACATTTTTAGCAAGTGCACAAAACCCATCTTTTCACATATTAATAACTGCACAGATGCTTGAATACTGTTGACCACGTGTGCATTGTTCTTATTGATTTGTACTGCAGAGCCCTGAACTCTTCATGACTACACTAACAGTACCATCACCCTTGCTTTACGCGATGTGGGTGTTTGGAAGCACAGACACATGTGCAGTCTGGGGTATGGCAAGTCATTAGCGTGGCCTTTCACTGCCTTTGTATCCAGATTACAAGAAGAAATGGAAAATATCCAGCCCTCCCCCTGGCTGAATAGAAGAGGTGACTGTTTACTGAAAAGCCCCCAGAATGAGCAGGCTTTAATCCCACCTCTTTTGATACCCCTTCAAGGAGCAATGCCAGAGTAGACAAAGAGTAAAGAGGGAGCCTGGAATAGGCTATTCAGTAACCAGTTGCAGAGCAGGGCTGGCAGCAAAAATCTTCTCCAGTGTTCACCTTTGTTATCTTTGCCTGGTTAAATATATCAAAAATTTTCAAAAAATGTTTGGTATATTTTCTTCTGCCCAGCCACACTGGAACTTTGTTTGTTTGTTTGTTGTTTGTTTGTTTGTTTTTACCTAGAGCCACCATGGTGCATGGTGCTTTACTGAATAAAAGAGGAAATATCCCTTCCCCAAAGAGCTTACAATATCACCTCAAGCCAACAGAGCAAGGGAGTGGAAGTGGAAACAGTGGTAAATGGCAATAACAGAACCCATGAGGCGGGGTGCCCACCCCACCGCTTCTGACACCACTGGAATGCCCCCCCTCACTGAGTTTTAGCAAGAGAGAAGGGTTTTGGTGTGCAGTGTTGACACTCATCTTCTCTGCAAGATGCTGTCTTCAGATGAAATGAAAAATTGCCTAGGGTGGGGAACTGCTATGTAAGAGGCCAGTTGGTTTACATCACAGAGAGAGTCTTGACATAGAAGGGAAACTTGGGATCCTCTTACAGCATAGCTTTCCTTTGAAGTATTTTTCAGGTCAATGTTAGGGTTACTGCAGGGCATGATAAATGACTGCGATTGAGGTCAAAGCGTGTGCGCACACGCACACAAACACACACAATCGCCAGTGTAAGGAATACAAGGCAGTACTAGGCCTCTGTCCTTCAGCTGTTTCATTTCGTGGCTGTACCAGTTCTCCTTGCCTTCTCCTCTGCTGACAGTGATGAAGCCATATTTTCGGTGGCTTTCTGAAATGCTACCTGCCCTCTGCAAGCTGTTTGCTGTCTCAGCAGCTGTTTATTGATTAGTGGACTGATTTAGGCTCTTGGCCAGAAGCAGCCTCACTTGTCTGGCTGCTGGCTAAGATTGGCTCCTTGTTCCAAGATCCAGAAAAAAGAACACTTTTGTATTTTTGCATGCAAGCATCGTTTGGCATCGTGAGCTTAAGAAGCAGCACCTCTGATCGCGGCCTGACCCCACTGCAGTATTTCTTGGCTTTAACAGGGGAGCAGATAGCTGTCTCATGAGGAACCAATGAAGGCTTTCAAGTGTGGATTAATTTATGCAAATAATTAAAGTATTGAGTCATAGTTTATGTATACACGCATTTCTTTTCCACACATTTTGTAAGTCAAATGTGTTAACCAACCGAATACTAAAACCCAGCAAGAATGACAATGCTGTTTCCGTAGCTGCTGCTGCAGCAGCAGTAACAGCAAAAAGCCTACCCACTCTCTCTTATTGCAATGACATTTTAGTTTTATCTTAACCCTTCCCATAGGTTATTGGGGGGGGGAATGAAGGGAATTTAAATCCAAATACATAGACTCATTTATAAGTGATAGCTACCAGACACCCGGCAAGAGAAAAGCATGATGACACTATGGTACAGATTGAAGCCTTATGCTGAAACTGCAGGTGCTGGAATGACTCACCATGTTCAGATTCGGGGCACACCTAGGCTGAGACTCATTTCATTCATTGCAAGCACAGATGACACCAAGGAAAAGCTGTTTGTGTGAAGCAGCACCCACATGTTCCAGGCATGCCTCAAGAATGTTCACATAGAAGGAGGACCGGCCAGCTTGGCTAATGCCAACCTATGTGGCTGTTGCTTCACACAAATGGCTTACCTTTCAGAGCAGTGCGGTACGATGCCCATCCCTACAGCAGCAACTACAGCAGAAACATACAGATCAGGCCTGAGAGAGCTTTTAGATTTTTGCCATACTAGTTCAGAGCCCCCAGCACCCAGTGTAGAATACTAGGACAAATGGGGCAGTGTCCCCACCAACTTCAGTCCACTCCTGTGAGGCTTCTGCAGGGCTATAGTCCTCTGCCACTGCCTTCCCTTGCTCTGAGAAAGGACCTTAAAGTGACTCTACATTTTTACCTGAGTTTAAAGAGAATATCTAGTCACCGCAGACAGCGCAGCCCTTTAGGCAATCTCCCAGCCACCTCATCACAGTGTATTGCTCTGAGGAAGGACCCCTACTTCCAATAAGAAGGAGGAAGAGAGGTAGCTCCTGTGCTCCAGTGAGGAAAAGAGAAAGGAAGAAGAGAGATGTGACAGCACTGCTGCTGCTGCTGCCACCAGCAGCAGCATGGGGGAGAAGTGGTGGGGCAGAGGACAGAGAAAAGGAGGACCAGGAGCAGGGGTGGCTCTCTTGTATCTCAGGTGGCACAGGCTCTTGTGCCCTGGCCTGAAGTGCAGCTAGTCCAAGAAGTTCACTTGTGTCAGAACCAACAAAAGTGCTGACAGTTGTCAGATAAGCCCACACGAGCCCATCATTGATGGAGGGGCCCACCAGGCCTTATTTTGCCCAGGGCTTAGTCAAACCTGGAGCTGGACCTTCAATGAATCCTCCACTTTTTTTCTTCAAAACAGCCAGGTCCTTTCAGTAGTCTGGCTCAAACAATGCACTAATTGGCAAATGAGATAAAAAAAGCTGCAAGCTGTTAAGTGATTCAGCCTATTTATATCCTTCCAGAAATAAAACAAAACCTTCTACCTCAAGATCCTTTCACATATGTACAGTCTCACGAGTCATGAAATGAATTTGTTTCATGACTCAAGAGATGTGAAACAATCCTATTTCATGCGTTGTGAGAGTTTACATATGTGGTAGGATTGCTGAGTAGGAGGTCAGTGGGTCTGTATTATAAACCTGCGCATTGTCTTCTGGATCTGCAGCACTCCTCCCCACATAGTCCAGCAGATGTTCAGGATAGCAGTTCAACTCCTGGCACAGGGAAGGGCAGAGCCAACCACTATCATACGAGCTTGAATGGTTGGTTTTATGAGCCCTGAAATACATGGCATGTTGAATGGTACCTATTACTTATCAAAGATTAATTCGCAATGAATATTAAGATTCAATGACAGTTTCCACAAGGTCCTAATGACAACTAACGACAGGAAAGGACACAAACTGCCTACAAATAAAATCATCAGTTAATAAATAAATCATCTTCAAGATTGGCAAAGAGAATAGATCTTCATATATTGATATTGAGGTTGCTCCTCTTCATTCTCTTCCCACTAAATACTTTCTTACAGACATTTTTACTTCAGGTTCACCCATCCTACATTGACTGTCACCCAGTGCTGGTAGTCTTGGTTTGAAGGTCCTGCTTTTCCAAATCACTCCCTTCAGCCGCTGTGATGGGACTCCACTGGAATCAAAGTTGATTGCCAAGGTTGTGATGTACAGTCCACCGCTCTAGGACCATTGAGAAGATATTTGATACCCCTAGTTCAGGGTATCAACCAGGTCCCTGCCAGGTGCTTTAGATTAAAACTCATCTCAGCCCAGCTATCATAACCAATATTCAGGGATAATGGGAATTGTGGAATCTCCTTTTCTCTATCCTTCGCTTCAATCAATCAGTCTATTACAGTCAATGACCTGTATTTTCATTCTTGTCATCTCTGTATCCCCTATTGTTGTCCGACTCTTCCTTCACCTCTGATTCCTCCTGTTTCCTTACTTGCAATGAAATTTTCTTGCTCAACGCATGCAGCTCATGAGCAGCTTTCAAGGGCTGGTAAAATGTAATGTAATGTAATGGCCTTCATGTTTTTCTTATGCCTGTTCAGAATCCTGATATGCTGATGCTTTGGTACCATCTTTGAGGCTTTATTCTTTTTCATTGCATGATCTCACCAATCAAGAATCATGTAATGAACATCACAGTGCCACATAATGAATCAGATGACATTCTTTGTTCTAATTGCAGTTGTGGGTTGGACATTGTACTGGGGTTTCCTAGGTACTGGTAATTTTGTTCCCTACTAGCAAGAGTTTGGCCCTGATCCAGCTCTAGTTGTATGTAGCTAAGCATGAATGGTTGGGGATGGGCATTTGCATGCAAAATGAAATGCTCATCCCATTGAAAAGAGTGCCATATGCATTGATTCCCTCTGTGGTTTGACGTATATTTAGATGTCCATCTTCATTGCATTAACTTTTGGCTGGATTCGTATTCAGTTGAGCATCCAAATACGCATTCCTCCCATGGGAGTAGCCAGGAGG